GAAAAGGAAAAGGAAAAGGAAAAGGAAAAGGAAAAGGAAAAGGAAAAGGAAAAGGAAAAGGAAAAGGAAAAGGAAAATGAAAATGAAAATGAAAAAGAAAAAGAAGACGATGAAGAACGAGGTCGGTTTTTATTGCTCTTAAATATAATTGACGTTACGATTATATATTTATACTTTTAATTTTTATTAGAATCAAGCTATGAATTAGCAAAAAAAAGTCGGAAAAATCGAGTTCGGGTTACTGCGCCAGGATTGAGCAACCTCGGAAATACTTGTTTCTTCAATTCTGTCATGCAAGTATGTGGAATTTCTTTAATATTGACATCATTAACGTTTTCAACTTGTAATAGGTTAAACATTTTACTTTCTACCTGAACTATAAAATAGGTTGTTGTGGGTACTACTGTACTTCATGATATACTTACACCGACGAATCCTTACCATAATCCGCCACATATTGATTCAAAAAAATGTATAGCGGCCATAAATGATGTCGATGATCTCACCGATGCTTTTAAAAAATTTCTTCAACAGATGTGGCGGGCTCAGGAAAGTATAATTGCACCGAGAGAATTATTTTCCGAGATTTCTAGGAAATGGCAACAATTCCGTGGATGGAGACAACAAGATAGTCAAGAACTTATGCGCTTTTTATTTGATGGAATAAAAAGTGAGGAGCTTAAGGTAGGAATCTTTTTTTTTTAAAATTTAACATTATGCATTGCGTTACAATGTGATGAAATCAATTTATACCAGCAAAATTTCAGACTTATAAGGGGGGATCAAAGTATTTTTCAAAATTTCCTTCTTAATTTGGAATTGGATCATTTAAATGATTTCATTACTATAACAATGTTTGTAAACATTATAATTTCTGAATTTGGGAAATGTAATTCAAGAGGCTTTGTACGCGATTTCATCTTTAAACGTGACTCATTAATACATATATGACGATTCAACTCATGAAAAAGACGTTTCATTAATGATATAATTGATTTTTAATTTATAGCTGATAAAGAGACAAAGAGAGCGAGATGGAATGATGTCAAATAATAATGAAGATCGTAAGGATGTCCTCTTTTCTTTCATTTTCATCTTTGAAAAGTTTTTAGTGACTGAAATCTTTTTTTCCACTTTAACAGATACCGATGATGAAAATTTGGAAGATTCAGATGATGAAAAGCAAGATGTCAAAAAATATGAATCTTTTATTGACGCTTGCTTTGGTGGGAAATTAGTTAGTCTCATTATATGTAAAGTTTGTAATAAAGTAAGTTCCATTCTACTTAATTATCACAGGGTTATTTATGTTATTTATTATAATAAATTAATTTTTTTTTAAAAAAAAAAAATAGTGTTCGTATTCATACGAAGAATTTTTAGACGTTTCATTACCCATTAAATCCCCTTCCGCGGACAACGATAAGAATGACAACCCATTCCGTTATGATTATAACACACCATTCAGAAAGGATAATTCTTCTCAGAGTGATGGTGATGGTTCGGAAGGTGAAGAAACGAATTCTGACACTGAAATGGAGGACGGAATTTCAGAACGGGCAAGAATAAGGATCCAACGGCTTTTGAGAGATCTTCCATCAGATTCAGGTCGATCAAGTCCAAGCTTATCAAAGGAACCAAGTATAACGCTTCGAGATTGTCTGAAGAGTTTTGTGAAAGTCGAAACCTTGGAAGGGGACAACAAGTTTGCCTGTGCTAATTGTTGGAAACGTAAGAAAAAGCACGAAGAACAAAAGGAAGAAACTGAATCAGTTGGTAACTGTGCAGATGATAAGGATATTGATACGGATAATGATGCTAAAATTAATGATTATGATGATGATGATAAAGATGATTTAAATCAACATTGTAACAATTGTAACAATATGGAAGTAGAAGAAAATAACGTACGTGAAGATGTTGAAGATGATAATACTACGCCGATGGAAGTGGATGGTTTACATCAAACAGGACCTGAAAATTCCGCAAGGATTTCAGAGGAAAATTCTGCAGTTACTGAATCGTCTTCTGTTGATAAACATGATGATGACGAAAGTTCATCTCCATCTAGTTATGGTTATATTAATTCGACGTACTCGGGCACAAGTTCTTCAACTACATCCAAGCCAGTATCAGAACCGGAATTTATTCTTCGTAAAGCTTACAAAAGGTATCTTTTTGATTCTTTACCTCCCGTTATGGTGTTTCATTTAAAAAGGTTCCAACAAGTTGGAAATAGATATTCGATTTCATCTAGTATGAGAAAGATTGATGATTTTGTGGCTTTTGATGAAGAAATAGATGTTGGTGATTTTGTTATTCCGCCTGAAATTGAAGAGGAAAATGGTATTAATAATGAGCATATTATTGAAAACAGTAACGATGGTAGTGTGTCGTCAAATCAAAGTAATCCACGTAAATTTGGTACCAAATATCGACTTTATGGTGTAGTAGTACATCTTGGAAGTTTATATAATGGACATTATATAGCGTACGTACTTTCAAGGAACATTATTAGTGATGATGAACAGCCAGGAGTATCATATAATGATAAAGTAAAAAATCATATAACGGATGATCAAAGGCAATGGATTTATTGTAGCGATAGTTCTGTAAGGCCTGTTTCAATAGATGAAGTACTTAATAGTGGAGCGTATTTATTATTTTATGAACGTGTATGTGAGTGATGACTATAAAGCTTTTCGATGGGATTGTTTGTTATAAATTTGATTAACCAATCAGTATTTTGATAAAATCATATTAAATATTTAAATTTATTTAATGATTTATTTATTCCAAACAAAAGAAACAATTGCCACCTTTCTTTTGAATTTCAATATTCAAAAGAAAAGTTTAGTAAAATACATTTAAAAAAGATCAAAAACAATGTGTATAAGAAACAAGTGATATATGCAATATATTCAAATACATATATATACTATATACATGTATATGTATTTTTTTAATTATAAATATTTTTTTTATTTATATAATATTTCCTGTTTAATCATAAAAATAAATATGTATAAATATAAAATTGTAGAAAATAATATATAAAGAAAGTATCCAATTTATAAAATATTTTATCAATTATACAAATTACATTAATTATATATTATTATTATTAATATAAAATCATTATTATTATATTTAATTAAATAAATAAAATTTTAATTATTGGTTTAATATATTTTAATTTATTTATTATGCATAGAAAAAAATTTAAAATATAAATTTATTTTAATAAAGAATAAAAATTTATAATCTAGTTTTATTTATTATTAAATATTATAAAATAATCAATAGTAATATTTTTTTTTAAATAATCAAAAAATTTGAAGTTAAAAATATATTATTACCTCTAATCTCCTTAATTTTTAATCTTAATTCTAATTCTAATTCTTCTAACTTTAATATAATATCATATGATCTGGTAATGTTAACTACTTATTATTTTAAGTAAATATCAAATTAAATATTCAAAAAGTTTTATTAAATCTTAAATAATATAAATAAATATCTAATAAAAATTTGTATTATAATAATTTTTTAATTTTATTTATACATATATTATTTATTATTATTTGTTTAAAATTTAAAACTTCAATAATTTATTTAAAAATGAATCTGATAATAATTTAAAAGTATTAGATATATAAATAATAATTTTAATAATTTAATTATTATAAAAAATATATAATTTATTATAATTAATAATCAAGATTTTTTTTAAATTAATTTCTTTTATAAAAATTAAAAAATAAAATTTCTTTTAAAAAATCAAATAAATTTTAATAATTATAAAAATAAACTAAATAATATAAAAATTATTAAAATGGTTATAATTTTATTATTAAAGTTAAAAAAGTTAAGAAACTAAAAAATAAATTTAAAAATAAAAGTTAATTTTTTTATAATAAATTAATTTCATAATTATATAATAAGTAATTCAGTTTGCATGGTATTAGTATATTATTAAATGTTAATATAATATTTATAAATTAGTTTGTATTATAATATATATAAAATATATAAATTTAATTATTATTGATTTATTGATTTATATTAAATTATTTGTATTAAATTATTTTATAAATTTAAGATTTTTTTTTTAATTTTAAAGTAATAATTATAAAATAAAAAATTAGATAATAATTTTAAAATTTAAATTCTTTAATATTAACTTTTTGAAAAAAAAAATTAAAAAACAACATTACAATTTTAATTTAGATCACTAATGATTTATGAAATGCTGAAAATTAAAGATTTAGCTAATTTTTCTATTAAATTTTTGTTTTGTTTGCTAGAGATTATATATTTAAAACTTCAAATTTTGAAAAAATTTACCTTTTATGTTAATAAATGATAGTAGCAATTCAATGTTAGGTTGAAAAAAAAAGAAGAAAGAAGTAAAGAGAGAAAACTACAAAAATAACTAAAATATAAATATTAGTAATAATAATATTATTGATAATAATAAAAGTAGTAATAACGAAAGTTGAATTTTTGTCAGAATGCTCAAAGAATAGGTTATACTCACAATTGGCTTTGGTATGCAAGTATTCTGATGATTGTTAACTTGTATTTTATAAATTATTAGTTGAAAAATAATTTTAAATCATTTTAACGTAAAAATAAATTTCAAATCATATGCCCACTAATTTATCATTGGTCCTTTATAAAATTGTTCAAATCTTTTAATTTATAAAATAGCAATGTATGAAGAAATTAAATAAGATAAAACATTGCAGTCAAAAATCATGAAGAAGCAAAGTGAAAATTGAAGGAGTTCGAAGAAGAAAAGAATGATGAGAAGTAGTTGGAAGAGTTAAGAAGAAAGTTGAAAACACAACATTAGTAAAAAGGAGGAAAGATAACTGGTTAAATTAGAAAAAAAATAGAAGAGTTAAAAAAGGAAAGAAGGATTGGGGAGAGCAAGTAGTATGTACTTATAAAAAAAATTAGTTGAATTTAAAGAAGAAAAAGGTAATAAATAAATTGTGTAAAAAAAAATAATAAAAATTATTTTTATTAATTCATTTCATTTATTTATTTGATATACTATTTACGACTTTTACCTTGTTTCTGTTTCATTTATTTTTGCTGGTACTTCTTATTTGACATCACAAAGAATGATATTGATTCAAATAAAAGTAAATATCATTTATGTTTATTTTTTGGTTATTTTTATTTAAATATGTAATATTGTTCACCTGTTTTGTTTTAAATTTATTTTTCTATTTTTTTTATACTATCTTTATGTTATATAATCAAGAATTAGATAATATTAATTTTTTGCAATAAATCTATACATATTGTTAACGTCTAAATCGATCTTACTATGCTGATCAATAGTGACCAATAGAATGATAACGTAATAAGCGTGATCAATACTGTGCTGACTGATCTGCATAATTTCAGATTTTGATGATTCTTAGGATCCACAGGATTCTAGGAATTCGTAAGGTTCTTAGGATTCATAGGATTCTTAGGATTTACTGGATTCTTCAGATTATCATGATTCGTTAGATTTTCCTAATTTCCTGTATTTTCATTATTTTAATTATTATTGTTATTATTCTTATTTTTATTATTTTTATTATATTTATTATTATCGTTATAATTATTATTCTTCTTATAATTATTATTATTATTATATTAACACTTGTAATTACAAATTTAGTTAGTTTATAGTGTAAAAATTAGTTAGCTGTAGCAAATTAATTTTGTATAAATAGAATAGCTTTTTGCTCATATTGTAAAATAACTCTTTTGCGAGTTTTAGTTTTATTTCAAGTTCAAGTAATAAAGGAATCAACTTTTAAAACAAAAATACTTTCCCTTCTACGTGTCTATCATTTAGGATTTGATCGTGAATTATTACACTAACTTGCGATTGAGTTCGTCACTTATAAAAAATAAATTCTCTAAATTTTCTAAGTCTCTAAACTCTTAAGTTCGTAAATCAAGTGAAGTAATTCCTAGGCATTCCGGATACCTATAGGATGTAAGATTCCCTAAGGTTGTAAAGTCCAATGATAAGAAGTTACTTATTACAGCAAAGAAACTTAGATATATTACGTGAAGTAATTAGAGAAGATTATTCCTAGTGACAAAGTGGTGATTCCTGCCAGACAAAATACAAAGAGAAAAGTATACAGAAATTAAAGTGGATTTAAATAATCTTAAAGAAGATAACCAACTACACGACCTTAGTCACAAATCTGATATTGACCCTGAAAGATTAATAATGAAAGATATTTCGTGTCAAATTTGTTATCCCTTATATTTACCTGAACTTGATAACTTTGAAGACTTTCAGTACTGGTATCACATTCAATTTAGATCATATAGATACTCTGGATATACCCTTGATCTGTTTAAGATATTACAACAAGTAACTAAAGAATTAAGCGAACAATCTGAAGATATCGATCTTGTACGAACTATAACTTCTCAAGTCTCTGCATTAATCAGAAGTTTTAGATATAAGAAAGTTGCTAGCTTACTATAATTGCTGAATTAATAGTCTTATTAGTAAAAACAAATTGTGTAGAAAAAGGAAGTGTACCTTTTGCTGAGTGGTCAAATACAACTGTTACGGTCAATGACTATATATTTAATCAAGAATTCAATATGGATCCTTTTGAAGAAAACACCTTGTCTTCCCTGAACCCTATGAATCCTGCAAAAACTAGAACTTTTCGATCAGGAAGAAATTACAACTAAGACACCTCCATTTGATATCAAAGAAGATCATATCAGACCGCTACCAAAACCTCTATCGCTCATGCCCAAAAAGTTATTGCATCAGGTAGCTCAAGCAAAAATCAACCAATTCAATTAACTTCTTCTTCCCCAAACATTCAACCTAAAGATGATACAGCAATTGATTTCAAATTTACAAAATGTTGCAACATAAGCTAAAATTAGTTGCAACATATGTTG